TAAGGTTATTCTATATGAAAATAATTATTTAATATACCAATAATTGCTTAATATTGTAAGCGAATTTATAATTTTCCACGATTTTTAGAATTAAAATCGTTTAAAAAAACACTATTCGTTTAAAATAGGTGGCTAGCATAAAACTATAATAATTCATTCATTTCAGTGAAAATTATTTTTCATTATCTGTGTGTTAAAGTAATATGAAAACAAAACAAAATTTAACAAAAAAGTTTGTATTTGAAATAAATATATTAATTCTTATCAAACATTTTGTGGATTTTCATGAATGATTTTTTTTTATTGCACACATGATTTTTCATGTGGACTGTTTGGGTAAATATACTGAAGCCACTCAAGGGAACATCCTGCCACATGTAAGTTTGTACGTTGTTATTATACCTGCAATATAAAAGCCTATAAAAGAAAAAAAAACATCTAAAGGAACACGAGGATTTACTCCCCAGTGAATACAAAAATCGAACTATAATACTTTATTTTTAAGTCAGGTATATATTTTATAACTTACTAATACTATTATAACCAATACATTTTTAAAAAAACTTATATAAGTATGCGTTTATTCTTTATATTACTGTATAACAATATGCGAATAAAATAAACTATATCTCCGATATATCTTTTTTTCCTGCTTATAAGGCTTTAAGTCTTTAAGGATTTTAGCAGCTTCCACTAAACTTTTCCATCCATTCTTGTCTAAGCCACATAGTTGTCGAGGCCTTCTGTCTGTGAAAATAAATAATTATTGAAGGGAAAAAGGTCATAAGAGAGAATATATCTCCGTGATCCCTAAGCATGCCACTGGTATCGAGCAAAACAAATAATTCTAAAATTTTGATAGAGGGCTACGTTTTAAAACAATAACAAATACACCTGTACTTACAAGTATATCGTAATTATTATACTATTACCGATAGGTAGGTACTTATAAGTTTTGATATTTATGTCTAGATTGTTTGAAAACTTTGGGAATAATATAATATTGCGTGCGATGAATACGGTTTGAAATTATATGGAACAAGTTCAGTGACAATAAATATTAATCCATAGTGTAATATAAATTATGCGGCGCCCACCGGAAATGTATAATAAACTATTTATAGACCCGTTTTGGCATTTTATTTATAATTTTAGTCATAACGTATACATTATTAGTCATATAATAATAATTTTAATATTATATTGTATTTGATTCAGATCTAGAGTAATTCGGTTTTTTTTTTTTTTTTTTTTTTTTTTTTGATATGTTTTTGAGCATGGCATAAAGTGTCGAAAATCTCGAACAGAGTTCACGAATCATTAATTGGGATGTCTCGAAGGGGAGTTTGAAAAGCGTAAATACTAAACCCGATTAAGATGGTACGAAGTGACTATAATACTCGGTTTAACCGAACGAAAAGTAATTATTAACATTATTAATATTGAATACATACATTTATAAATATAATATATACTAGCTGACCCCGCAACGATTTAGTATAGCTAAATAATAGTGTAAATAATGGTAATAATAGTAATAGTTTTCTTGTCCATGATAACCGAATTATTTTCCATGTCACCAAAGTAACCCATGAATAAACAAAAATAAATAAATAAACAATTAGATATTTGTACCAAAAAAAAAAAAACACCTATAAAACCCTATTTTACCTTCTTAGAGATTGAATTTCTTCACTTCTACTCCATAATAGCTACTTGCATGTTAAATTTCATCCCGATCCGTCCAGTGGTATAGGGTTGGCGGTGATAAATCAGTTAGTCAGTCAGTCAGTATATAATAATAATAATAATATTATCGATCAATCCCAATTGTGTCATTTCAAATTGTACCATGGGACTTAATGGAAAAAATTGCTAGGCTAAACAGAAAATACAACAAGAGGTTCATTATAAGTCGTACTTACCTAGTGGTAAATAAGAAAATTAAGTGTACTATAGTAATTTTTTTTTTCATTATAAGAATTTTAATATAGAATTAATTATTAATTTTAATTACTTGAAAACTGTAAATATTACGGTCTTTCACAGTATGCATAATCGAATTTCGCTCTGAATCGTTTTTCGTTAGCAATGGTTTATCGTTGCATACAAATATAAATTAAAAAACTTTATAAGTCCTATCTTCCTAATTTCTTATGGCACACCCGTCTCCAATATCAGGTCTTTTTTATAGATTCCTCTTTTTTTTTAGCATTCTATAAAAAAACAATCTTCTGTATAGATTTTTAACCAGATTTTCTTTTCATAGTGCATAAAACATTTTGTAACGTAAAATTAATTGGAACCACAAAAAAAAAATGGTACATAATATATTTTATATATTGTATTTTTTCGACATTTCCTTTGGGTTATAATAAATTCGCAAAGACTGTTGAATATTAATTTCTTTTTCTTCTATAAAATAACCTTTAAAAAATGTCATTAACGAATTTTGTCTTTATTATAATAATATGTACCTACCTTTCCTTTTTTTTTTTTTTTATATCCAATATTAAAAAAAAAATTATAAATCATAATCAAATTAAACCACTTTATAATTATAATATAATTGAAATACTAACAAGAAAAAGCCCCCAATCTAGATTTTAATATTTTACAAAAGAAATAAAATACCTTTTATAAGCTCTTTTTACACCTCAACAAATAATAATATTTTTTTCTCTGTCAACAAATTTTCTACCAAATATCTTATTTCTATAAAAAAAAGATGTAACCATTTTTTATTGAACATTGATTTAGTTGCTAAATTGAGAAAGTAATTTTTTTAATTTTTGAAGTAGTTTTCAATATAATTGGGAAATACTGAAATAAAGAAGGACTTGCACAAAATTGTTTTGGATGAGCATAAATGATCGAACACTAATATATGTAGTATTTGATAGTAAAAAAAAAAAAAAAACTCGAGCATAATCTAGTAATTTTTTGTATGCATTTTAAGGTATTCCAAAACATGTTTATGCGAACTTCACTCAGAATCGTCATAAATGATTTACCGTTGCATAGATAAATTAGGTAACATTATGTAAAATACATTCCCAACTTCCAATCTACAGCATTGGCACACTCATCAACAATATCAGGTTTTTATTTTGGATTCTGAGTGAAGCTAGAAATGTATTGGATTTACAATTGTCTTTATTATTATTATTTTTAATATCAATAGAATTTTTTCTAGAAATCTTGTTTCAATCGAAACACGATAAGAGACCTATTTTGTTGCATTTTGGCAATATTTGGTACTTTGGAAAAAGTAGTTCTTTGAAATATAATTTTCGAAATAATGAGGAAAAACTGGATCTTTATGTTGAAAAAGATTTAAAAATTAAAAATTGTCTAGTAAAATTAAGAATTTATCCATGACAACCCAGTTAACTAATAATAATTGTTCTTTCATCTGTATCACCAAGGTAACCTATAAATAAAAAAAAAAATTACGTTCGTTCATATGTATCTAAAATCGAAGTTTAATGGGTGTTTTGGGGATATCGAGGAATTTCATTGGTGTAAGAGAAACCTCACGAGAGTGTACTAAACAAATTTCTAGAGTTTCATGGCGATCGGATAATTAGTGTAGTAATTCATAAAGGACAAACACACATACATTCGTTTATTAACTTTTATCGGAATTTATTTTAGATAATATTAATTAAGAAACAAGCTGCTCTACAATTTCATATTTATGTTATTTTTTGTTACTCTTATTTTTGGGGGGTAAAACCAACAATCTACAATTGGTTTTAAAATGGCAACTTACATTAAAAATTTCATAAATAGACGGAAGATTATAGTTAAAATAAATTTTGAAATTGAAATTTTTGATTTCAGTCAATTTTGGGGAGGTATTTCACTTTTAAGTTTTAGGTTGAAGGAGATCTATTTATGGAATTTTTAATAAATGTTGTTTTTTTTAAAACCAAAAGTGCATAGTGGTTTTACTCCCCCACCTCTCAAAAAATATAAGGATGACCAAAAAAATAATATAAGTATAAAATTGTAGAGCTGTTTGTTTCTTAAATGTTCTAGAAAACAATTTACGAAAAAAGTTAATATTTTCTGAGATAATGGGTGTACCAACTTAAATGGATCACCTGGTTTTCAGCCTACAGGTATTTATAGGTATATTATGTTTTATTTTCTTGGTACGAAGGTACTATTATCGTTTTACGTATATATTAAACTAGTTAAATACCAGTCATACGTAAAATGTTATAAGTTATAAGTTTATAACGGTCATTGAAATATTTAAGATGACTAGTGCTAGATAATTTAGGTGGAATAAATTCAAATGTTGATTATTGTGGAAAAAATTTTTTTACGTACCAATTTTAGAGAACCCAAACGTTTTATTTATATAGTATAATTTATTTTAAAAAGGCAACAATAATTCAAAAAGAAAAAGAAAGTCGGTGCATTACAGAGGTATTTTTTTGATTTTTCAAGGAAATTCCAAAATAAATGAGATATAGATCTTTTATGGAATATTAATCCCATCCTTAAAATAGTAAGGTCCGTTCCCTTTACAATGTACCAAATACCTACTATAAAGTATAACTGCTATTTAATTCAATCAAATATTTTAAGTACGATGATTTAATTTGTATTATAAAATAGCGTGAATTATGTATTTAAATAAAACTATTAGGTACAAACCTTATTTAAGACAAAATACATCAAAATATCCATGATTTTAAGAAAATTTTAAATGATTTTAAATTTTAATTTTCTTAAGCAAAGATAGGTAGGTGTGTAATTCATGGTATGATTTCAGTATTCAATTCAATAATATTGTGCGTAAGAGTAATTTTTATCATTTTGTTATGTTTTATACTTACAATAAATAATAATAATTATTCTAATTAATATATTGATATTTATTTTCAATTTATTGATGCATTTGATGTTTTTATCTAACCGAAAAAACAGAAAACAAAACTGTTAAATGACAACAATAAATTCTCTATATTATTAATCTATACATCAAGAAAACAAATTATAACGGTATTTCATGATACAGTGCCGGCGTAAAAATCTGTCGTTATGTGGAATATCAGTATTCCTGGTGGTGACCGTAATGTTGGGGGTGTTGAGCGTGGTGTTCGTAGTGGACGTGCGCGTTGAAACCGTTGTGCTTGTCGGCCGTGTACGTCACCTTTCGAATGCGGCCGTCTGGCTGGACAAAACTGTAGCCTCCGTGCACGACGTCTTCGTGCCGTTTCTCCCATTGGTTTTTCTCGTCCTTTGTGTGCGGATCGTGGACACCGTATTTGAATTCGTACTTTGGCGGTGACTGTGTGTAGTTTGACGCAGAAACAATTTCAAAAACGAATTACAAATATTATTACGATTAAGAGTGGTACAACAGGGGCGCAGGACTTTCTTTGGTTAAAAAGATGTAGTTATACAAATTTCATTTATAAACCGAACGGGATAATATTTTTACAATTATGACTATAATAGTGTTATAACTCAAAAATTGAAAGATTGAAAAATTGAAAAAAGACTTTGATAAGACGACCAATTTGATAAAAATGAAGTTGTTTACAATTTATTATTGTGTTTACATTGACAAATTAACCAAACAAAAAATACAATTTAAAGGATAAAATGAGGTGGTTGTAAATTTAATGCAACGGAAGTTTACAATTAAATATTCAGTGCTGATTTGGGTGATTTTGGCTAACCGTGCTCAATGTCCAACCAGCAAAATTAATGGCTTATTATTAGAAATAGCTAGGATTCCAGCATCACCATCACGATTTTTGGAGATGAGAGTAAATGGGTAATAATTATTTGTCACCTAAAATCCTGTTACTTTATATGAAAATTGTAACCCAACAACGCATGTCTAAGTATGTAATTTACACTCTAATTCACAATTGATATCAACCGAACAGCATCACGAGAAAAGCATATAATTCGAAAAGGGTGGTTAAAAAGGTTATGTTGGTTGCAATAAAATAGTCCGCAAGCAAAAAATATATAATACAAATAACGTTTTATACTATTTTCACTTTTATTTTAATTAAATCTGTTTGACAAATCAAAATGCAATATTTTTATCATCGCTTATTTCGGCCTAATTAAATAACTATGTTCGGGCTTTGGTTCCTAAATGGCATCAACATTTCTGGTAAAATGTCTTTTAAGACACAAAAAAAAAAAAAAAAAAAACATATATTATGGTTAAGCCAATACATTTTTGCTACGATCACAATCAAAAAGGCCCCTCGAATTATGTAGGTTTCGGGGTCTGTGTGAGCCTCACACTTTGCACACTCGTATTTTGTGGTACTCATTGGAACACGATTCGAGTCGAAACACTACTATGTTCTGATGGTTCGATTTAATAATTGTCCTAAATTGACAGCTATACTGTACTTCTCACGTACAATACACTCACTGAAACTACCATAATTGTGTAACTTGGAATTAAGGTTTGGTCTGATCGCGTAACATATTCAGGTATAAACGTTTACAACAATAGTTATAACCTATCAAGAGAAAACAAACACGTCTATATTGAAAATACACCCCATGTTAAATTATGACGCTCTCATTCGAAAACGATTATCCGATAAATTTACGATACAGAATTATTATACACTGCAAACGACGCAAACTGATACAATTTTCTCGTTACAGTATTTTATTATCGTACACGAAAATAATCGTTTATACTTACGTAATAATCGTGTCCGTGGTGTTCGGTGTGGTGGAAGATAGGTTGATAATAGGCAAATGAGGTGGCTTGGTGGTCAGCCGATATCAGTGTCGTCAACGCGCCCAATGCCACCACAGTGATCTAGAAAACGGTCGGCGTAACAAAAATGTTTGTAAACTAATTTGTGTCTGCGATATTGAAAAAGCCAATATAAACGTATAATATTATATTACGTACTCGAAACAGCGTATTCTGTGGGTCTTTTTGATATAAACTATAGTGGTCATTAAGTAGCGTATAACAGACGCACGACATTGCAAGTTTGCGTTCATCGGGGATAATGATTGTGTGTTATTGTGTGAATACTTAAGCGAATTGATGTATTATAAATCTTAAAGATAGGAACGTGATCTGTATTTGGACATCGGTTTTTTTTCGATATTTTAATTTTCAAACAAGATATATTGAGTATTTTATAATTATAATACTTCACGTCATACTCGTATCTCGCTTAGAAATTTAAATATCGATTAAAAACTGACGTATCAATACAAATAATGTTCTTACCTTTGAGTTGGACGATTGGATAAATTACTCATTAAATACATTAAATATAATGGCAAGAATATTTGACACATCGTATCCGGTGCTTTTGTAAGTCGTAGACGGCACACGATGCAGCTCACATTCTTTTAACAGCCATTCTTATATTTACTGCTTATTACGTTTTGTTTAATTATAATCCATTCAATTGGCTTAATCAAACTTATTATGTCAAATATTTTTACACCGATATAAATTATATCGATTGGCAAGTCAATGTGGTAAATAAGAAATACATTTCTAAATGATACGTTGTCAGTTGAAATCTCGACATTTATAACAAATAAAAATAAAATCGTAAATTAATTAGATTTTAAAACTCAAAACGAAATTTTACGACGTGAACGTTATACCTATCCGTTAGAGTATCATTTAATCGGCTTACCTGAAATAGACTGACCATTTTATCAATATTATTATGTTTATTCGGATAAAATAATACAATACTGTAATACGGTAGATATTCTAAACTGCAATAATTTAATATCACAACGATGCGTATATAACCCTGTAATCGAACGAAAAACGCGCAACGACAACTGATACTATACCGTAGCACGGTTATGGCTATTTATACTTATGTCATGAGACCGTTTCAATTTAACACCTACACCACTTACGACTTTAAATATTTCAAAATTCGCAACACATTATTACCCTATGAATTAGATATATTTGCGGTGTGTGCAATTATCCATTTACGGTTAATCAATTGGGTAACTCGAACTCGAAAAATTATAATTATAAAATATATTTGCTAAGGTCATTAGTGGTTTGTGTGTTTTTTACACGTATTGATATTGTACACTATTGTCTATTGCCATGCAATCAAAACGTACACAATGGAATTCACACACATATGATACAATAATATTTAGAACGGGCGTCATTCATTTGGGCGAATGACCCAAAATATACCTGCAAAAATCATCATTTGGGCGAAAAATTAACCGATCGTTCGGGCGTATTTATCTTTGCACGTTGTAAAATGTGTTTTTTATTATTATTCTTTTTAAACAAAATTGTTGGAATTACAAAAAAACATGATGCACTTATAATTTAATAATTAAACTGGCGGAACGCTTATATTTGTGAGACAGTGAGAACAAATGTTGAAATAATTATTGAAAATCCAATATTTCAGACTTCAAATACTATATATAATATAACTGTACAAGCTCGCCCAAATGATGCATTAGACATATTAAAATGCAGTATAAATTTCGCCCAAACGATATGCGATTTTGCGTTGATTTGTCTAAATGAAAATCGCCCGTTCGAGCCTCGATCCTTAATTTATTATATATAAAAAAAAAAAAAAGCCCACATACCCCTAAGTGGGCTACTAGTTGTTGGTTTAGGTATCATGTCATTTACAAATTAATTTAATTCATATCTGTAAACAACGGACAATTACGAAAAAAAAGATTCTGAGCAACATCCGGATAAACATAATTTTATTCAAATTGAAATTGGAAATTGTATTAAGTATGAAATAAATAACTGATAATAACTTACCAGTTTCCACAGGACCATAGCTACAGCAGAAAGATCTTTCTCTATCTTAGGAAAGCTAGAAAATTACTTTGTCTGAAATACGTCTAAACGGTTTGGTCATGTTAAACATACAGAAACATAAAGTGATAGCTGATATAAACCAATTTGTTGACACATTTGGGCGTAAAAAAAAAAGAGGATAATGGAGTTGGAAGATTGGTTTATTTTAGATGTGTGTTTTTAAAGTTTCCAATCGTGTTTACGTTTACAAACATTAAGAACATTATTTTTTTAGGATTAAGCACCTCCCCCCCAATAAAAAAAATTCTAGATCCACCACTTTATATATATTGGACCGTCAACATGCTATTACATTATTACGTTTCGAAATACACTTTACCGAGAGTAATAATACGTCAGGCCGGACCGAAAATATAATATAAATAAACTACTTTAGGTACACTTTATTTTCGGCGTTCACGAAGCGTGGTTTTCGAAGAGCTCTTTGTCATTTTCCGCGGATAAGACCGATCTATGGCAAATCCGTTATAAATTATTCAATACGCCCGCGTGCATAATGTACTCGTACAATATTTTTAATGCCCCTACGAGAAAGTATCTAAATAATTCAAACGACTTTTAGGTAAATTATTATTTTTTTTTTTTTTTTTACTGGGCGTACAACACCACCGTATAGTTTTAAATTATTAATATTTTGCGAAACAATGGGTTTTTTTTTTTTTATTTTTGGTCTTCACACTCAAATTATTTTATTCAGCAAATACTTTTTCGAAGCATGAAATACATATTATTATATTCTGGTATGCGCCCATGATATATATTATGATAAAATCATTTTTTTTTTTTTTTTTATAAATTCTGGGCGTTTTGTGTCCGTAAGCAACTTTCATTTAACAAGATTAACGATTTTATTAATTGAAAAAATTGTTTCGATTTCGTTTTTCTACCAGAAATCTTTCACCGCACTGCATGTGTACAGTAAAATTGAATTTTGATTTTCTAAGGTGTTTCCATTTACATCTGGGAAAAACTGAAAACCAAAACCTAAAAGAAAACCGAATCAGTTTATGATGTAAACGATTTCATTATTTTAAAATTTTTTTGTTTTTGTTTTTGTTTTTTTTGTATGCTGTTAACATTTTCTTAGAGACCTGAATTTCGCACAGAACACTTATATTGGACTTTCCTATAGACGTGTTCGAATTTTTAAATCATTCTGGCTTGTTGTAGGAATTCGACATCGAAAATCGTGTTTTTTTTGGTTATTTTAAATTTTAATCCCACAATAATTGTACAGTTACTATGATTTATATTATCTTACTATAATTATAAATTGTGTATTGTTTACATATGTATATATGTTAGTTACTTTTTCCCGTACACATCTATGCGTTAGATTAACAAATGATTTCTTTTAATTGTCGTAATTTTGTATACCCCATACATTTATTTTCTCGACTCTCACATTTATTTTGATCCTGAGTGTAAATATTTTAAATAAAATAAATTGTTCCTAATATATGTGTTATATTCTAATTACGTAAGTTTGCCCGTTTGTATATTCGTTTAAAAACCGAATAGGTTGTAGCACGGGTACGGATAAGGCACACGTACATTTATAGAATACGAAATAATTAAAACTTTCAGTCATTTAGCTTAGAATTATGTAGTCGTTATTCTGTATACAAACTTACATCAACTTATAAACATCAAAAACTGCAAAAAACAAAAAAAAATTATTTACTACCAGAAGTGATAACACATATTTACACTGTCGACAGTTAAAAAATCCAATAATAATAAATTTAAAATTACGTTGTAGCTATAGTTTAATGGTTTTTCCTCTCCTCAATCGGCTTATAACTATAACAACCACGAGTATTTATTCGGTAATTTAATCTTGAAATGTATATTATATTTCAGGCAAATTGCAAATAAATTTTTTTTTTTTGGATCCGATTTTTAAATTCACATAGTTTACTGGGGCAGAGAAGATGGTTATACGATTTGTTTATGATTATTATTTCTTACATCCCCTCCAATAGAAAATTCCCGGACACGCCTCTGTACCAGCAAGATAAAATTTACTTTTGTAAAAATTGCTGCACTCGAAGGTTGGAGGTGAACGCATATATACACATTTTAGTAAAACCAATATTATATTTCACAGAATACGCTTAAAATTGAATAGTATAAAAATATTGTTCAGTCCCTGTACAATTAGATATTTTCGTAAAATATCACGATTTATCATTGTCGTTCGTGAGCTTCTATGTATGTATATATATATATTATGTTTCAAGTTGTAAGAGCAACTGCAGTTGTTGGGAAAAAAAAAAAATAAAAAAAAAAAAAATACAATAACACTATGATTCGGACGACGACGAGAGGGAACGTAAAATATTATATTATATTTCATTATGATAGCGCATAGCATTGTATCTTTATTATATTAATTTACGGTCTCGTCGGTTTTTTTTTCACTCCGAGGAGCTTTTGTTCGAAAAATTCAAGATATGTTGACCAGCACGAGAATATTAATAATACACGTTGCTGCGAATTTATTCGAATAATATAATATTATGTGTACACGCGCGTAAATGCCTCCGGGCGAATCAATTCCTCCGCACCATATTATTATTACCATATATGGCTACAATACAGAGTGGCTATAATATTATGTGCAATCGAGAACCAATAATCATAGTGTTGCCTAGTTTAGGAAAACGTATGCGATTATTTTGAGAACGTTTCGGGGATATAATATTATAAAATATTTCTTTAATAGATTAACAATTGTAAAACTTAATGTTATTATTAATATATCGTATTAAAAAAAATAAATATGCATTTCGAATTGTGCGGTGTTACACATGAGTTTATTTACCGCACAGCATATATAATAATAATATGGCGTAGGTTTAGTTACACCATGGTAAATATGGTTAACCAACGAGAGTAATTTAGTCTTGATGTATCATACTCGCATAGCCTTTTTTTTATACTCTATAGTATAAAATGGTGAGCTTGAGGCAAAACAAAAATTCAAGACCCAAACACTCAAAACATGAATTTTTATATGCCCCATACATAATTGTTTTATAACACAAATCCTATTTAGCTACATTGACTACATGTCATGGTTATCATATTCATTAAAATACACAAAGCCAAAGGATCTTGTATCTCTGAATTAGTTAATCAACATTCAACTCATTCGGTGACCCACTCACTTACTTATTTTAAACATGAAACAAATGGCCCAAGAAAATCTACTTCGGTACTGTTTTGTACTATAAAATCAATTGCTGTCATATTTATTAGATTATCATGGAACGCAGTGTTTTTTACACAGGAAGATATTCTCTTTTCGAATTAGAGTATGATGGGTTGAAAATAAATAGTTTATATACAATTTTATGGTAGGTGTATATCAAATAAGTGTACACATTTGTAAATAAGACTATTTAACGATTCTACATTATTACTAAAAAAGATAAAAATCAAATTTACTCAAAATCTTCGTTATTAGTCGCTATTTCATGATATATAAGCACCCTGTATACATACGACCCGAGTGTAAACTTTCTCGTCAGTATTTCCATTGCCCTTCCTATTTTGCCTTTTACCCTATATTATACCGCTTTTCCTTCTCTTTTTGCATTCTCCCCGACCACGATTAACCCTCTTCCACCGTCACCACCTTCGTCACAATTGAATGCTCTCCTTTTCGTTCTGCACGTATCTCTAGTCTCCGCAGGGCCACTACCGTTTAAAATTCCACGCTCGAACTATCCGAATTCACCGATAATAATTAAGTTATGTAAAACGTTTCGGCATCAATCGGAGGTAATTGCTTTACCGCATGAGGATGACGATGCGACATGTAGTTTTGATTGGGAAAATCTGTATAGGAACCAGATTATTCAAAATATTATAACAGTGACATTAACGAGCTGTAAGAGTAAAAACAAGTTTGGGCTGTTAGAAATGGTTTTCTAAATGTTCTCTAA